CTATCTACACTGGCAAATATTCCATGATTTCAACACATCTGAAAAATTTCAGGTTTGGTGTATGGGAGGCTGCCCAATACCTGAACGAATCCCCGTTTCATGCACTTAAAATAATAGCATCGCTGTTCTCCTTTTTGTGAGATAATCTTTTTGTTTAGAGTGCCCCTTCCCTTATTCAGCCCTTTGGGGTTAAAACTAAAAATCCATTTTCATGATTCTAATTTTTATTTAATTTAAGGCAGACGAAAGTACCAGTTATCCTAGCCAGATAATCTAATGGAGTGCGTAATCAGGGTCCATCTGGTCCCAGAGTGGCTGAGTGCAGTGGCTTCCTGACAAGAGAGCTGGTGAGGCTCATTTTGCATTTCTCAGTGAGGACGGGGGAGACAGAGCAGGGCGGCAGCTGTGGTTTCTATGACATTGAGGGATCACTTTACACCAATGCCTTTTTTCCCTTTTCTTTTCCATGTGTACTTCCCCCCACTTGCTGGTGATAGGGTTCAGGACAATTTACCCCCAAATATGGCACTTTGGCACAGTGAATATTTTTTAACTGAAGGAATCTGAGATATAGCAGGTGCAGGAAGGACTTTCTGACCGTCCCCTGGAGCAGGTCATAAGACCCTAGTGTCTATATTCGGAGGAAAGGAACATCCTTATCTCCGAAGATAAAGGGACACGGAAAGAAATCTGAATGAACAGGCTGTGTGAAGCTTCCCCAGCTTACTATTCTTAGCTCGTAACCTTCTTGTCCTATCGTATTTCCCCCCCCAACTCTCTACTCTTTATCAAATCTAGCATAAAAACACTCAAGCTTAACTATTTCTTTGTGTCTTCACTTCCTCATGAAGGCTCCCGCGTTACATAAAACTTATAATCAAACACAGTTGCGTACTTTTGTTAATCTTTGTTACAGAGACCCAGCTGACAACCAAGTAGGGTAGGAAGAAGCAATATTTTTCCTCCCTTACGACATCAGGCATTGCTCTTCATAGCTTGAGCCTCAAGACTATCCAGGGAGAAGGAGGGTAATGAGATTCATGAATGGGAGTTGAATGAATGGCATATCCCACAATCAACATGAAATTTCTGGTTACCAATGTGTTACCCATTCCAAGGGGTATCTCTGCAACTTGGAGGGGGGAGCGGGGTCTGGGGGTGGGAGGTATGGAGGGCTATAGTAACGGGTAACCAACCTGGAAATAGTTGGGTGTCTTGGCATGAAACTTGTGAGGTGTTATCACCCCTTTCACCTGACAAAAAGAGTACTTTTTAAAAAATCAGCCTTTTTGGAGTTGTGTGTTACTCACCCATTCCCTCCAAAAGTCCCTCATAACTTTAGACTTAATGGATTTCACTTATTTTTTTTTTTTTTTTTTTATTTTTGGGACAGAGAGAGACAGAGCATGAACGGGGGAGGGGCAGAGAGAGGGAGACACAGAATCGGAAACAGGCTCCAGGCTCTGAGCCATCAGCCCAGAGCCTGACGCGGGGCTCGAACTCACGGACCGCGAGATCGTGACCTGGCTGAAGTCGGACGCTCAACCGACTGCGCCACCCAGGCGCCCCATTCACTTATTTTTTTTTTAAAAACGAAACTTCCCCAGAAAATTATTTTATATCATCAGTGTACCGCAGTATTATCTTATGCCTTTAGTAAAGACACACTTTAAAGTTACCACTTCTTACACAACTAGCTCAATTACTCCTTAGCTTTTTCTAGATGAGGTAAAAAGATGCTTTTAACTTTTCTCATGGGCCTTTTCCCCTTAGCCTTTTAGTAATATTCAAAGATGTACATGGAACCTCTTTTCAAGATCTCTGTGGTCCTTTTAAGTTGAGAAAGTTATAAAAAGCTTATTCTGTGATAACAGCTTGAGAAATAATGCAAAAATGGGGGACTTAGTTCAGGATGTCTCAACACAGACTTCTCTCTGCTGAATCTCTAAGTCATACGAAAATGATGACTTAGGTTGTATTTTCTATTTTTTAGATTCCAATCTTTTAAAATGGCACTTGAAATTATAGTAGGAAGCTCATGGGCTATCGTAAGTGCATAATCAATGACAAATAGGCATTTAGGATTGAGATTTGGGAGTTATTAATCAATATACCTGTATATTCTTGGCTCTCCAAAGTTTAATTCAAGCATATTCAATCAGATTCTTACCCAAAATCAATTTTTAAAAAGGTTGCTTTTCAAAACCAGGGATCTGCAATGAGACTTCTTTTGTCTGGGGAATATTTTATAGAAATAGGATTTGTCTTCTGTTATGCCTTTGGACTATATATTTTTTGCTTACCCGGCTCTGGCATCCAGGTAAACTAGTCCTTTAGTCAGGAGTTGAGTTTTACATTAAGTAACTTACATGAAAGAACCTTTATGAAAATTGTGCTAGCATTGAGGATATTGGCAGAGACTACAAAAGAAGATAGATAGAAATATAATGAAAGATTTTATAAGGGTGCCCCGAATCTAGATTCCCCTTTGTTGCGAAGATAAAACCATTTGGAAATCTTGAATTATCAGGGGAAACAAAGGTGGAGCTTGACTTTTACTGCCAAATTTAATTTTCACCCCCAGCTCTTGATGTTTGCGAGAACTCCTCAGAAAGGTCAAAATGTATTGATTTTCCCACAAAGCAGTCGTTTAAATCAGATTACACAAAATAGTGGCAGAGAGGAGGACAGGCAGATGGATGGGCAATTTTCTTCTCAAGTTCTATTTTGCCTCCTTCTGTTCTAGGAATTCATTAATTTCAGATTAAGACACAATGGATTTGTAGAAAAATGAAGGAAATATCTGGAGGTGTGATGTATGAAGAAGTCCTTAGAAACAATAAGTGCATCCTAACAGTGTTGACTAATGTGAATTAGTCAATTCTTTTTTTCTATTAAGAAAAGAGAGGAACGCATCCATGTATTCAGTACACTACCGGCCAGGAATGGTGTATTTTACAGGTGGCATCTAATCTAAGATCTCATAAAGTAGGTTTTATATTTTCTATGTTACTGAACAGAAAACTGAGACATTAAAACAAAACTACATCTCCAGGGTAAGGATAAAGAACTGGGTGGCAGGTGCAGCGAAAACAAGATTGGCCATAAAATGATAACTGCTAAATTTGGGCGATGGGTGCCTGAGACATCATGACGCTATTCTATTTTTAAAATGTATTTGAAATTTTCCCAAATAAAAAGTTCTTAAGAAATCACTAATGAACATCAAGGTTCAAATCCACTCTTGGTTGTTTTCAAGCTTGCGCTCTCTCGATCACATCACCTACCTAGTAATTTCTAAAAAGCTGGACAGCAAATTTCAAGCTGGGTAATAAACCAGGAATTTAAATTTTATGTTAGAAACTAGCAATTGCTTGTTTTATGTTCTCAAAAAGAATGGAGTCTGAATCAATCTTAGTGTTGTATTTATTCAATGAAGATGTCTTTCTTTCTATTGAACTAGTGTGAGATTAAAATAAACCTCTTTTTAAAAAAAATTTTTTTTAAGTTTATTTATTTTTGAGACAGAGAGAGAGACAGAGCATGAATGGGGGGAAGGTCCGAGAGAGAGGGAGACACAGAATCTGAAACAGGCTCCAGGCTCTGAGCTGTCAGCACAGAGCCTGACACGGGGCTAGAACTCACGGACCGCGAGATCATGACCTGAGCTGAAGTCGGACGCTTAACCGACTGAGCCACCCAGGCTCCCCTAAAATAAACTTCTTAAATGTCCCGGTGTCAATTGTGTTTCCTGAAATGACTTCTTTTTCTCTTTTTCTTTTTAAGGAAGACATTTCAATATTCTAAACATTTGCATTGGATATGTAGAGACATGTAAGATCAACCATTTTGTCCGTAAGACTGAGTAGGCTTACGAAATTTGTGAACTAAGCTTTAATAAGATTGAACTTTAGCCAGAACAAGAAAAACCTTTAGCTGTGGGTAATGAGAACCACCACTTAAAGTGGAATGACTTCATGGCTCTATTTTAGGTCATTCTTTCACTCTAGCACCTACTTAATGAAAAGGTCACCTGTTTAATAAAAAATTTTCTTAAGAAATAGAATGCATTGGGGTGCCTGGATGGCTCAAATGGTTGGGTGTCCGACTCTTGATTTTGGCTCAGATCATGATCCCAGGGTAGTGGTATTGAGTCGCATGTCAGGTTCTATGCTCAGTGTGGAGCCTGCTTGAGATTCTCTCTCTCTCTCTCTTTCTCTCTCTCTCTCTCCCCGTCTGCCCCTCTCCCCTGCTTGTGTGAGCACGTGCTCTATATCTCTACAATTAAAAAAGAACTAGAATATATCTTAACCTCATCATGTTTATATCTCTCAATACAAAATTATTCCACCGAAGACACTTATGCTAAATGAAAAAAGCCAGAAACAAAAGGCTATAGACACTATGATTCCATTTATGACTTAAAAAAATATTTATTTATTTTGAGAGAGAGAGAGAGAATGAGAGCAAGCGAGCAGGGGAGGGGCAGAAAGAGAGGGAGAGAGAGAATCCTAAGCAGGCTCCATGCTGTCAGCACAGAGCCCGATGTGGGGCTCGATCTCACGAACCATGAGATCATGACCTGGGCTGAAATCGAGAGTCAGACACTCAACTGACTGAGCCACCCAGGTGCCCCATTTATATGACTTTCTGAAATGACAAACCTATGGGGATAGAAAAGTGATGAGTGGGTTTCTGGGGGTGCTGTGGAGAGAGGCGACTGACTGCAGAGGGACATGGGCAAATTTTCTCGGTGAAGGCACTCTTCTTTATTTTCATGTGGTGGTGGCTACATAGCTGTGTTTTTGCCTCAATTAATAGAACTGTATATACATTTATTTATGTGTCAATTTATTGTATGAAAATAACATCTCAGAAAGTCTGATTACTATGTATGATAATATAAATATGTGTGTGTGTGTGTGTGTGTGTGTGTGTGTGTGTGTATAGTTTTCAAAGTATGCCTCTGTGTCAGTGACAGCACAGAATCATGCACTTACCTGTATGCTGACCGGAAGCCCCAGTCCCTGGTTGTCAACCACAGCTATAGTCATGACAGTCTGGATCACCAAGGCAACGAAGGTGTTGATTCCAAATATCAGGGCATAGCGTTCCACGCTGAGGTTAACAGCAATCTGAAATCTAACATTGTACAAATGGAAAGAGCTTTGAAAGCATACGTATGTGGGCTTTTAAATACAGAGCAAGGAATCGTGTTGTTCCCAAGACTTGACTCCCCTCAGGAAGCCCAGGCTTCTGTTGACAGTTTCTTGCTAAAAGCTCTTCTAGCAGAGAAAAAGGAGTGAAGGGTAAATGAAATAGTGAAGTGTTGTATTTTCACATTCCATGTGATGTGATGTATTTTAAGAATTTAAAATGAATGAACCTTTTCTAAAATTGAACCAAATATTCCAAATGTTCTGCAACGAGGGAGCACTGAACATCACTGGATGTGGCTATGGTTTATCAGTCACTTTTTAACTTAGACGTATCAATGAGTTAATCACAAGCCCCTTTGATGAGTTTTTATTTATTTGGAGATTGTTCACTGGATCACTGACTGTCTACGTTAGCAGTTTCAGAGTCTAATAGGGGATTTTTTCTCTGGAAAACTCACAAATTATTTTCTTTCACAGTTGATTCAATCTGGCATTAGTTCATTTTAAATAATTTATTGGGTTTTTAATGTTAGCCAGGCAAGACTGACATGTATGCATTAGAATTGTTCCACCTAATTTAGCTAAGACATTTATAACCTGAATCTATTTAAAAATATGAAAACAAATGGAAAGTTTTAACTATTTTCACATCCCCTCCCCAAATCCACACAGCAAAAAACAATCCAAGCATTTAAAAATTATGTGATTCAATGAAAATGTATTATTTCAGTGCAAAAACTTACCAGTTAAACATAGCAAAGCCCATAAATAATCCTAGATCCCACAAAGTGAATATAACGGGTGGTCCAAATAGGCTTTATATAATTTCGGGATTTTCTTGCTCAGCTAACAATTGTTCCTTTGGAAAGAAATGTTACAGGAGACAGATGCTTTTGAAACCTAGATTAAGCCAAATGGCAGATTCCCTTTTAGTGTGCAAATTATTCCAGGTTGGAATCTTGATTTAATACTTACAGATGCTTCAACAGCTTATCAGTGATTACTTGGTTTGGGATAAGACCTTTACGTGTGGTGGATTCAGATGGAGACATAATACTGACATCAGGCTGACCGTGGCATTGAATCCTAAGATTTTTTCAGTCTAAACCCCAAAACTACCTGAAATTCTGACTAAAATCTTTTGTTTTTTAAATTTTTAAACATTATTTATTTTTGAGAGACAGAGCATGAGCAGGAGAGGGGCAGAGAGAGAGGGAGACACAGAATCTGAAGCAGGATCCAGGCTCTGAGCTGTCAGCACAGAGCCCAGTAGGGGGCTCAAAACCGTGAATGGTGAGATCATGACCTGAGCCAAAGTCAGATACTTGACCAACTGAACCACCCAGGCACCCCCTGATTAAAATCTTATTTCAAAGCTCCTACTGGATTATTTCTATGTAGGAGGCATAAAGCAACCACTGCCCAGGGCTGGTAAGTTCTTGGAAAGAGAATTGTATCATGTTCATCCGTGAGGCATTTAGCACTAAATACAGATGAACCTCTGAGATAGTCTATAATTTTATAAGATAGTACCACTTTGAAATTTTATTTGATCATTTATGTTCCACATATTGTGAAAATATAGGATTGGCACTTATCAATTTACCTTATAACTTAAAGGAAAGCAATAGCAATGTTTTCTAAAGCATTAAAAAAAAATTCATTGGTGTGCTGGGATGGCTCAGTCGGTTAAGAATCTGACTCCTGATTTCGGCTCAGGTCCTGATCTCACATTTCATGAGATCAAGCCCCACATTGGGTTCTGTGCTGACAGAATGGAGCCTGCTTGGGATTCTCTCTCTCCCTCTTTTTGCCCCTCCCTCCCTCATGATTTTTCTCAAAAATAAATCAATGAACTTTAAAAGCACATTACTTTGTGCCTATAAAAAATAGAATGGTTAAATTAAAAAAAAATCAATAGCCCAAAGTTTTTTTTTAATATTATATTATTGTATTCACTTTTTTTTTCCAAGAAGTGCTAACCAAATGCTTATTATGAAGCAAAAACTAGGGTAAAACACCAAGGTATACAATGAACAAACTTGATTCTATCCTCACAGAGCTTATACTCCAACAGGGAATATTTAACTGTTACCAGATAACTGCTTTGACTAATATTTAATTAAATTTATCAGTTTTTATCATGAAAAAGATATAGGTAGTAAATATCTTTTTGTAGAAAAATCAAATTATTTTTTATGAACTTCTTGTATCACGTGATGGTTGAAACCATGGCTGGTCAATTATCTTAGAATTCCTTCCAAATCTGAACACTAACCCTTTGTACTAGAGATACATGTATCCAACACTTGCCAAATTTATTTGAAAATTTTCTTAGAAGCTGGAGAAGTAATAAGATGTAAATGGAGTTAGAGTGATTGGATTCACCTACAGAGAAAATGATATTCAATCAGTATTCTGAAGGTGGACATGTGTGTGATAATTTCATTCAGCACCAAATTTGACAGATCTATGAAGTTAAGTTCTCTTCTTTTCCCCACGGTAAGTGTGTATCCTGACATTAAGATACTATCTGTTGAGCGCTGTTCAGTAATTAGATAATGTAAATAATGTAGCCAAAGTTAATTATGTCTAAAATAATTCTTCACTAAACCTAACAGTCACCTGACTGAATGGACAAATTAGATGATCACTGAGTTTTATGTAGAATGCTCTGAACATACCGTCTGGGAAAACCCTGATGGTCAGTGTATGAGTTCCATCGTCACGGGCTCCCAGAATCGCAGCATTCTTACTATTCGTGTGACTTACCCCTCTACTTCTGTATGTCTATAATAAATCATTCTGAGAATTTATCAATACACCAAAACATTTGGGTTGTGTTTTTTTCCGAAACCATCTCATATTCTGACAGTTAATCTAGCTTTTTTTTCCTTCAAATTTTCTTATTTGTTTCTTTAGTAGAACAATATTGACTTGCTTCATGGTATGCAGTAGAAATGCAGATAGCTGTGAACCAATCTGTTCTGAAACATTCAAGAATAATACTTTTATCTTTTCATTGTGTAGAAGCTGTGGCCAGGGACAGTACAAATAACTCTGAAAAAATATTGTTGCTAACTTTCAGGTTCTCCATTTTCTTACATATAGCCATTGAGCATTAAACCAAACGGATTTAGGTTTGGCTTGAGTTCTTTTTCCTAATCAAGAGTTAGATTTTGAAGACAAAACAAACAAACAAACAGCAAAACAACACAAAACAATTCCAAATATTTTCTAGAACAAAAGTGGGGGAAGACAGAGATCTCGTTAGGATGTTGAAGGTCAGAAAAGACTGAAATAACAATAAGAAAGTAACAGGGTAAGCCAAAAATCATGCTATCCCATTAAGAAAACATAAGTATAGTCAAACTTCTGAAAACCAAATAAAAACAGAAAATCTTAGAAGCAGCCTAGAGCAAAATTACCATCACATTTAGGGGAACAGCAATGAGAATGACAACTAACTCCTTAATGTAAGCTGAAAGACAATGGAAGGATAAATCTTGAACATGCTGAACGGAAAAACAAAACAAAATATAACAAAACACTATCAACTAAGAATTCTGATCAGCAGAACTGTACTTAGAAATGACAGTAAACTTCATTTTTAAATGCATAAAATTTGAGAGAAATTGTCACCAGGAGGTTTGTACTACAAGAAATGTTAAAGGAAGTTTTCAGGCTGAAGGGAATCAAGAGCAGATGGAAACTTGGATATAGAAAGAAATGAAAAGTACTGAGAAAGGTAAATCTATGAGCAAACATAAGACATTATTTTTTCCTGTCTTCATTTTTAAAAGATAACTTTCGGTTTATAGCAAATGGAGTAATAACGTATTGTAGGGTTTATAACAGTTACTGAAGTACAATCTGTGAAACAGTACAAGGGACAGGGAGTAAATGGAATTATGTTGCTCTAAAGTATTTATACAAGAAGTGGTACAACATTAATTTAAGGAAAACTGACGAGTTAAGAAACCTAATCCCACTAAAGACATAAAGACTTGGGGCGCCTGGGTGGCGCAGTCGGTTAAGCGTCCGACTTCAGCCAGGTCACGATCTCGTGGTCCGTGAGTTCGAGCCCCACGTCAGGCTCTGGGCTGATGGCTCAGAGCCTGGAGCCTGCTTCGGATTCTGTGACTCCCTCTCTCTCTGCCCCTCCCCCCTTCATGCTCTGTCTCTCTCTGTCCCAAAAATAAATAAACGTTGAAAAAAAAATTAAAAAAAAAAAAAAAAGACATAAAGACTTAGCCAAGAAAAACCAGTACAGGAAATAAAATGGAATTAATACGAAAGCTCAATTGACTTCAAAAAAAGAATAAAGAAAAAAACAGAACAAAACAAAAAAACAAAAAAACAGAAAAAGAATAAAGACAAATGAACAGGTGGGACAAATACTAAACAAATAACCAACTGGTAGACTTAAACCTAAACATGTTACATGGAGTTCATGGGTGAGCTCCTTGAACGTGTAAATTCACATTTTAAATTAATATTTATGGTTTCTTGGATATGTAAAGTAATGCTTTTCATCAAATTTGGGAACTTTTTGGCCATTATGTCTTTACATGTTTTTTTTCTCCCTCTTTGTGTTCTCTTCTTCTGGAACTACATAATGCATATATTGATTCACTTCATGATGTTCCACATGCCTCTAAAAAAGTCTAAGGCCAAACAGCACATCCAAGATTATGCAGCTGATAATGTTAGGTCAAGGAAACTATTTCAGCTGCTTGCTTTATCACTGATCAACTTCCTAACTAAAATGAAACACATCGCCACATAGGAAAGGAGGAGCTATACCTACCTAATCCTTTAGGCAACACTCATCACCTCTTCAGCTCATTTTCTTTCCTTTTTCATGAATCTAGATAAAATATTTCCTATGTTTAAACCACTGTGTCATTTGACATTTATTATATTCATATGTGGTTTTATAGAACAGCTTCGCCTTTACAACTGCTCTGAGGCTATTCGATGAGTTGTTTCAAAAAGAAATCGATGTGCCATGATTATTCAAGCAGGTAGGGAAAATTGGGACCAAAATCAAAGTTCAGAAACTGGAACACTGGTACACTGTTGGTGGGAATACAAAATAGTGCAGTCACTATGGAAAATAGTGCGGAGGTTCCTCAACAAGTTAAAAATAGAACTACCCTACAATCCAGAAGCTCCCACTTGGGAGTATTTATCCAGAAGCATCGAAATCAGGATCTAGAAGAGATATGAGCACTCCCATGTTTGTTACAGTGCTATTCTCAATAGCCAAGACGTGAATAAAGATAATGTGGTATATACACACACATGACTACTATTTGCCCTTAAAAAGAAGGAAATTCTGGGGCGCCTGGGTGGCTCAGTCGGTTAAGCGGCCGACTTCAGCTCAGGTCACGATCTCGCGGTCCGTGAGTTCGAGCCCCGCGTCGGGCTCTGGGCTGATGGCTCAGAGCCTGGAGCTTGCTTCCGATTCTGTGTCTCCCTCTCTCTCTGCCCCTCCCCCGTTCATGCTCTGTCTCTCTCTGTCTCAAAAATAAATAAAAAACGTTATAAAAAAAAATTAAAAAAAAAAAAAAGAAGGAAATTCTGCAATCTGGGACAACATGGATGAAACCTGGAAACATTCCATTACATAAAATGTGTCAGTCATAGAAGGGCAGATGTTGCACGATTCCATTTATATGAGGTGTCTAAAGCAATCAGATTCAAAGAAGCGAAGAATAGAAAGAATGGTGGTTTCCAGGGGCTGGGTGGAGGGGACAATGAAGAGTTGCTACTTCATGTGTATAAATACCGATCTTTCAGTAATGCAACATAAAAAAAATTTCTAGCGGTCTGATGAACAACATTGTGCCTATAGACAGCAATACTGTAGTGTGCACTTAAAAGTCTGCTAAGAGGCGTAGATCTCATGTTGTGTTTTTACTAAAATAAAAAAAAAAGAGGACTACAAAATAAAAAAAATCAATAAAATTATTCCATTAAGTAAATAAAATATAAAAAAAGATAAAAAACCAAAATGTAAGGGCGTATCACTGTTTATTACTTGTGAGGACGTTGAATTTTCTTTGCCTGATTAATAACTTTAACCAAGTCCCAAGAGAGAGCTGGTTAAAATAAGAATATAGTTGTATTGTCTGTTATTTTTTTTTAAGTTTATGTATTTATTTTGAGAGAGAGAGACAGAGAACGAGAGAGAGAAAAAGAGGAGCAGAGAAAGAGGGAGATAGAGAATCCCATGCAGGCCCCAGGCTATCAGCATGGAGCCCGACACAGGGCTTGAATTCAAAAACAGTGAGATCATGACCTGAGCTGAAACCAAGAGTCCAAAGCTTAACTGACTAAGCCACCCAGGTGCTTCCCC